TAATGTTTCTATATTGGAATTGCCAGTTAACATATTTGTGAAATTGTGTGAATTGTGAATGGTTAGAGTACTGGTGATCAATCTACAGTGTGTGGAATATCACTGGTAGGAACATGGACCTACTCTGTAGAGTTACTTGAAAAATCTTGAGTATTAGGAATTCTGGCATTGTGCTATAGGGTCTTTCTGCTTCAGTGGGAAATGATATAAGCAGACAGAATTGTCCCAGCTGAAACTGTCATTGTCAATAGTGTGTTGCTTCCTGTGCAAGACAAAGGTAGATAATTGTCTTTTCTGATTACTTTGAAAAGAGGAAAGAATAGCTGGATGGTTTTGGTAAGGACATGATCAAAAGGGTTAGCCCCACTCAATGTTCTGGGGGATGAAAAATGCCTGGTATGATGTAGTCATCTATTTTGAGTCGATTTAGGTTTCTGACTGCAAATAAAGCAAATGCTGTGTCCTTTGCTATGGTTTATGTCCCTCAGGTGTTCTGAGGCATGCAGTAGTGTGCCTGGGAGCTGCAGCTAGGCTTGGCCTCTTGTCCAGTTCCTATCAGTGGGCCTGTTTCATTCTTGGCAGGTGGAAATGATGACAAATATGGTGATGAATCAGCCTCTAAATACTGCTTTCTGCATGGAGACTGCTGCAGTGCTGCTATGGATGAGCAGGTGGCAATTTCCTAATTAAAGAGCCAGGCATTGAAATGTCTTTCACTAAATCAGTGTGTCTCTGCTATAAGACCCCTGCCCTTTGTATTCAGAGTTGCTTGGGGAGGCTTCACTTTCCTCTAGGTTGCATGTGCAGGTCGAGTGGTTATAAACATCAAGTAGTTTAATCAAAGCCAGCTGCTACATCTGTATTACAGAGATGATCAGAACTCCCAGTTCTTCCTGTGGGAGGGAGGGCAGGCTGCAGTGGGGATGTGTAAACTGTGATAGATTCCAGTTGCCTGGGGTGGGGACTGGACCCCCCTCCCCACCTGAGGGAGGGCAGCCTTTGGGGGTCAGTAGCAACCAGAGGTCTGCACTGTTTCCCTTCTGCGTAGCATGAGGTAGAGCTGCCTAAGGAAAGCAGTTCCCTGCCAGCCTTGGTCCCTTAAACACAGGAGATCCAGTGCTGATGAGGTCTGTGCAGCCTCTGAGAAAGGAGCCTTTGTCTTCAAATGAGTGGGAGCAGGAGGTAAAAGGAAGCATATTTTTACTTGCTTCCTCCCCAAGTTTAATTCCTTGGTCACTCCCTGTTGTGAGGAAGAGAGGCAGCAACTGCCACCTGGACTGCATAGTTGAGTCAGGCTAAAAGTTGGTGCATTTGAGGGGCAGCTTGGAGAGCCTTGAGCATAGGGATTCCCATCCCAAACCTTAGTCCTGCATGGAGCTGGCTCCATCCTGAAGAGCTGTCTGTAGTGCGTGGTCCTCTCAGACAGTTATCTTTGCATGTCTGTCCCGGAGGTCTCCTTTCTCCACCAGTTCAGGAGGACTCGTGTCCTCTACGGCTCCTGAAATGTGTTTTTTAAAGGCTGTACACCATGATCTATCTTCACTTAAGCTCTGGGAGGAAGGGGGAGGCTTGGTCTGCCCCACCCTGCACTTCTGTGGGCTCTCTTGTCCCAGTTCCCCTGTGCTCTGGCAGCTGTCCAGAAGCAACAGGGAAGGAGCTGAATCTGTCCTGTGCAGATGGAAATACTGGTGGAAGAGCTGTGGGTGGTGATGGGAGAAGGAGCAGGGTGAGACGGTGTGCAGTGGGGTCAGGGTGAAGACTAGGCTAGCACCTCTGGAGCTGGGGGGGGTGGGGGCACAGCTTCTCCCTACCCTCTCTTGCAAGCCAGGACCCAGAGCCTGCAGAATGAAGACATCTGGACCCCATTAGTGAAATACCAGTCTTTCTGCAGTGCTGGCTTGTTTTTCTTCTGCCTCTGAAGAAAGGAACTGAAACTTAAAATGTCTTAAAGGGCCCAGCATTACACATTAGCAGGGATATATGGCTGTTCGTGCTCTGGAGGGGACTGAAGGAGTGTGCTGGGGAATGGGAAGGGAAGGGAACAGCAGGCCAGGCGGGGGTGGAAAGTTGGCTCCCCATTCTGCCTTGCTGCCAAGAGCATGTGTGTGTGCTCCTGGGCGCTCTGTTTTTCTTCCTGTCTTCTTTCAATGAGTCAAACGCTGGCCCCATGGAGAGCGGCCCCACAGAAAGCTGGCCTCCCAAGACCTGGAGACCCTTCTGAGGTACCTGCACCTCCTGAACCCTGTGGGATTACGCTGTAGGCCAGCGGTGGGAGGGAGAGGTGGGGAGGAGTCTACCCTGGCTGCTGGCAATATAGAGCAATTTTCTTGCTCAGGGAGGCCACGGTGTCCCCAGAGCTGGAGCAGCAGCACAGCATACTGTCTTAACTGCTCAGCGAGCACCACAGTGGACATGATAAAGAACTTGATTTGAATAGTCCTTCTGCCTGAATCCCCTATGAAATGCACAGTGCCCACTTCTCTGCAGGGCTTTCCCTCCTGCTGGAAAAGAGGATCTGTGAGCTGGGCTAGAGCTGCTGGTGATGGGGACCTTGTAGGCAAGATGCAATGCATGCTGTGCTCAGTGGGTCCTACTAGTAAAGCTTACTGCCTGCTGGAGGAGACCCCTGCACCCTCTGCTCTGCAAGGGTGACTGTTTCTGCTGGAGTTGCTCGTGTGCCGCTGTGTGCCGGAGTGTTTGCGCAGCTGGGTGGATGGATATATCCGCTGTTTCCTTTGGGAATTTGTGTGAATGTACAATACAGATGAGACCTTCTGTCCTTATTCAGGTAAATTGTGTAGTAGTAATTCTGGGCTTTTAAGAACAGGTGACTGCATAAGAAGGATATGGCCTTATTTGCTTGTGTGAAAGTATGTGTTGCACACAATGTCAGTGTGTGTGCGTGTGCAGGAGGGGTGGGCATGGAGTTTTAGGTACTTTCAGGTGCATGGGTGTGCTTTATATTCTTTAGCATCATGTTGATTCCCGCTGCATCAGTTGTGCTTCAGTTCTTTTTCTGTCTTCATGCCTTCTCGTTTGCTTGAAGTATAACGGTGTTCTCTCCTGAGGAAGATGTGACCTTATTGACAGTCACTAGATAGCTGCTTATTCTGTACCTGTTGATGCCTTGTACCCAATTCTAGTTTAAAAATAAATACATTGATCAATACTGACATTGTTCCCCCCTGCACATGTGTGTATTCCCCCCTGTTCTCCATTCCCCCAACAGTCCATGTCCTTGAGACCCAGCTCAGCTGGTAGAAATCCTTTTGGTTTTGTTCTGATGCCCACAAGTCATCAGAAGCTTGCTGTGATGGGTGCAGCTGCAGCCAGGTTTTTGCATTCAGCTTGTTTAAAGACCATAGGAGCAGGTCTGCTCTGAGGTTCTTCCTCTCCTGCTTTCACGCTGCTCTCAGGTGCTCTCTGGAACATGTTCCTTCTCTTTACATCCTCTGCAGAGCTCTTCTGTTTGTTCACTCATCTTATTTCACAAGTGCATGTTTTCTCATGGATAATATCTTACTCAGTCTTAATCAGTCCTCATTTTATGCTTTCACTCACTGTTTCTCTTCTTTCTTTTGCAGACAAACATCAAAGCAAACACAACTTCCAGAGCATCCAAACTTCCAGTCCATTGTGGGTTTTTCTTTATATTAATGACCAGCATTCTTTATGATGTGAAATCCCCTTTATCCAGTCACCTTTCTGTGCTTGATCCTGCCTTCTCAGGTAGCAAAACACAGTGCAGTTATAACTCCACCAGGCCTGTGTGTCTATCTCTGCATTCTATGGCAAAGTTTAGCATGTGAAACACAAGCCATCCTGAACACAGCTAGCTACCCCTGGGACAAGTGCATGAAGCTGAAAGAAATAAGGGGATAAGAGATGGAGGAGGAATAAGAGGTTTGTGAGTAGGCTGGTGAACAGGCAGGTAAAAGAGTGATAATCAAGCATGGCTCCAAAGGGTTATATCCTCTCAGGCTGAGGGATGAATGAACTTTGCATGCAGCTCTCCCTGCAGCCCACCCTTTCCGAGCATGTCCCTCTGCCATGCAGGTGTTGCCGTTCCCGTGCAGCACTGGCAGTGTGGTGTATCCCAGCACAGCCTAACCAATGTGCAGACTACTGTACAATCTTGTAGTCCTGAACAGGTAGTCTGAACACTGGGCAGACGGAGTGGAGCCTCTGCGATCTGCTCTCCGGTTATCAGCAGCTCATTAGTCCTTTCCCCTCCCTGTTTTTGGGATGGGGTTTTGGGGGCAGAGATGGGGTGAAAGTCCAAGTCCTGATTGAAGAAACATCCTCTTCTGGCAGCTGGGAAGAAGAAATGTTGCTCCCTGCATGTTTCCGATTTGGAGCAAGCTTCCAAGCTCCTTCCTCTTCCAGTGCCGGTGTCAGGCTGGTACCTGGTTTCCACCTGGGGTT